TGCCCGACGAAACGAAAGTGCACTGAAATTCTTCATTATGACCAAGCTCATATTGAATACGCTCAGATAGATCACCAGCGTCGCGCGGGTTTCCCAGCAGAGGGTCACCATCGATTAATTTTACGTTTGTCGGATTCCCACTCACCCGAGGATAAAGCATCGCATGTATTTCCTCATCTGCTGCAGGAGTGGTAGATTCTGAGTCCGCGGGCGCCCCCGCCATGCCGAAGTCGCCCTCCATGGGCGCGTGGAAGTTCTCGACAAACTCAATATCTGCAGGTTGCCCCGCGACGGGTGTGCCCAGCCGTTCTGCCAGGTCGACGTCATTGTGGCGAGTCAACACTTCCTCGAACAGCTGGCCGGCGCAATTCTCGAGGGTCACGCTGGCACTTAGATACCCGGCAGCCACGAAATGAACAATTGTGGCTGAGCCGTCGGCAGGGTCGGCTAAAAACGACTCCCAATCAACATACTGCATGTCGGAGTCCGTTTGAGCCAGATGCATTGACGGACCCCTGCCTCTTCCATCACCTTGGGGGCATTCGCGTCGGAAATGTTGTGCGCTGTGGCATATGTCGCACTCCGTAGTTTTACCGTTGGTATATTTTGGGTTTCGTCGCCGTCATTTACCTGCGCCTGATGCGTGCCTGCGGTTTCTGCCAGCACCAAAAAGCATTTCTTCATACTGAGGTCAAGTAAGAGACGCTAGGAATGCTAGTATGCCTCTACCATGCAATCGCCGACTCTTACCTCTGCCTTTACTTCGACCCTTGGCTTTTCCTTTAAGTGATCGTCGTCCAATACGTCTTACCTTTCGGACTGGTTTCTTCATGAACCTCCGCCAACGACGCTTGTGTTTTTGGTAGCCCAAAAACAAACATTGAGTTGGTTGCTCTTCAGTGAGGTATGTGGGCATATCAGAGTAATCCAGGGCGGTATCTTCGTCATCGGAAGACGCATCCGCATCGGCACCGGAGTCGAAGTCGGGCTCGGCGGGTTGCCCCGCAGAGCCCATTAGGGTCATGGCTTGCAAAGGGGAAACCGCATCAGGCGGTCCCCTAGGTCTGGCCCAGGAATCTTGCGACCCCGAGGCTGTTCCACCATTCTGAGCCAGCCGTGTAGTGGTCTCAGTTGACTGTGGATCATCGTTCCAGACGCTGTTGGCAGGCTGCCCTGCGTTGGCCTCCACGTGGAAGGTCTCGGTTCGGTGACCGCGGCTAAAGATACCACCAATATTGCAAGGGGCCCTCTCAGCTATGTGAGCATATTACCTCATACATTCCAATGGAGCGTCAAATTGTTGTTGGTCTCTCGGCATGTGGTGGTTCAGAGGCAGCAGGAGTTGTTGTGCACGCGATGTCCCCACTCCAAGAGCTCTGAATATAATTACTGTTAGGATTTGGAAGTTGGGGATATTGAAGCCGGTTGCTTCAGCTTCGTAACGGGCTATCTCGAATCGTGCTAGCGTCTGGTCGATACCATCACCCGCAATGTCGTACCGCGCGCCCAATAGCGACCCATATGAGCCAAAAGATAATACCCCCAATCCAGTGGCCTCGTAGTCGGATGTAGTCGGTTGGGACTTATGTTGTTTAGTCGTAAGTCTGCGCGGGGTCGGAGGCGGCAGTATGTCGTATTGCATGCTTCCATGAATTATGTCTTCGACGAAATTCCGAATTGGGGTAGGTGGGTGGACTTCAGGAGTGTAGTAGCGCAGGGATGTAAGATGTGAGTGATATACCTCCGCTTGGACAGAGGTATCGCTGCAAGTTTCCTTGCGGTACTGCGTAGTTATATACATTCCTCCGCGCAAACCCACTGCACCCTGATGTTCGACCATATATGTAGTCCACCAGATAGTGCCGTGGATGGTGAGGAGTAGAGCATGAGCTAACCATCATAGGCCAGCTCCGCTACCAAGTTTGAAGGGGGCTGGAAGGCCCAGCCAACAGCTTCACCTCAGGCGAAGCCAAACTCCCGCTCTGTTGTACCGTAGTAACGATAGTCCCAATATGAGAGGAGATGCCATCTCAAGCAGTAGGAAGATCCTTTTGGTCTCGATAGCGATTGTGTGCCTCGCAGTGAGGCACAATCATATTTGGGCGGTCGGCCGCTTGAGCCGACGCGGCCGCGGGCGCACGCCCGCTTCCATTCCTTACGTCTCTCAGCTCGCGTTGGAGTCGGCCCCCCCCCCGCGTCCCCCCCACAGGGAGACCAACAAAAACCTCGAGGGGGGGTGGAAAGCATCCGAGGGAAAAAATGAAAGCCTCGAGGCCCCGGGGGGGGAAACAAAAAACATCGAGGGGGGGGGGGAAAAAAACCCGAAGGACATAATAAAAGCCTCGGGGGCCCCGGCCCTCCCCGCCCCCCCCCCAAGGGGGGGGGAAAAAAACCTCGAGGGGGGAAACAAAACCTCCGAGGGAACATAAAAACCTCGAGACCCCTGGTCCCCCCCCCGCCCCCCCAGGGGGGGAACAAAAAACTCCCCTGACCCCTCGGACACCCCCCCGGGGGGAAAAAAAAAACTTCGGGGGGGGGGGGGAACCAAGCCCGCACTTGACGCCTCCCAAGAAGCCGCCACGACGGTCCACGAGAACCCAAAGTCGCCGAAAGATCGTTCCAAGACGCCCAAGATGAGCTCACAACGGCCCAAGAAGATGCCAAGACACTCCACGCAGCGTCCAAGAGGCCTCCCAAGAAGCCCCCAAGAAACCAACAGCTTGAAATTCCCTTGGGAAAACGTGCGTTTTCAGCATGTCCAACTTGTTAGCCTTCACGGAGTTGAAAACCGTCCTCGGGGCCCCCACGAAACCCCCAGGACCACCCCAAGACGGCCCACCAGGCTCCCAGGAGAACCCAAAGACAACCCAAAAGAACTCCAACGTGGCTCAAGAAGCGCCCTAGACGGCCCAAGAGAGCTACAAGACGGCCCCAAGAAAGGGCCAAGAGAGGGACCACGAACCGCGAATTCCGGCGGTCCGCCCAACGAAGCTCTCCAGAGGACCCAAGAGGCCCCCAAGCGGCCCCAAGCGGCCCCAAGAGGCCCACATGAGGCACCTAAGAGGCCCCAAGGAGCCCCCAAGAGGCTCAAAAGCAGCCCCAAAACGGCCCCCAAGACCCTTCGAAACTGCCTCGAGGAGGCCCGCGAGAATCCTCGCCACGAGATCCCAACGGACATCCCAGAGCGTGCCACACACTTCCCTGAACTTGACGCATTCTTGCTACTTGTCCTCGCCCTGGCTTCGGAATTCTGCCCGAGAGGTGGCAGACAACAGACCCTGGACCCCCCTTGGAGCCCGAACGCATTGGATTTTCGAGCCGCGTCTAGCCGCCGCGACGGGCACCCGCCGAAAGCGAGGCCTCCTTCTCCGTCTCATCCGTCATTCCCGTGTCGTTGTCCCTCTTTCCTTTCTCCTTTTCCCTCCGCCATGCGAGAGCACCACCTCTCAAGAGCGACAGCATATCCGTATCCGCGCCCTCGCAGTGTGGATTCTGGGGCGCGATCCCGCGGATACGCGTCGCGCGGATTGGTTGCGGGCGGGGCATCCCCGGAAATGCCGCGGGTACGAATATGTTTGTCGCCCACGAGAAAGTTTTTGACACCCTCAGCGTGAAGCGGGAAGCCGTCTCGGAGCCCACCTGGGGCCGCCAGGGAACGGATCGGGACGAAGCGTGGGTCCCAGAAAATACGATAATAGCAACGAGGCAACAGGAACGATGTCGAGCGCCGTGTCATGATTCGGACAAGCCTCGTGGAATGCAGTCCTGGAGGCGCAGTAGTTTATAGAGGGGTCGGCGGATGTGGCGTAAGCCTATATAGTCAGCATCATCATCATCATCATCATCATCATCATCATCATCATCATCATCATCATCATCATCATCATCATCATCAGCATCATCATCATCATCATCATCAACATCGGCATAATCATCATCAGCATCCTTCTAATCCCCCCGACCATGATGGTGATGAGGGCATCATCACCATCATGGTCGTCATCATCAGCAGCAACAACATTACAACCGTCATCGTCTCCGTCACGATCAGCATCACGATCACCATCACCACCATCAACATCATCACCAATGTATACCGTCATTACTATCACCAGCAGCATCGTCATCATCACTATCAGCATCACCAACACCATCACCGTCAGCGTCGTCGTCATTATCGTCAACATCATCCCCATCCCCATCATGAGCATCATCATGATTACTCCAGATTTCGTAATAAAAGGGAGGGGGTCTGAACCCTCCAAGACAAGCCATTCCAGACCTCCCCCGTGGGAGAACCCTCCAAAACATCGTCCCCAGACCCCCCAGGCCCTCCAAGATAGCCTGGAAGAGACCCCCCCCGAAATGAGACCCCCCTCCCTTTATTACGAAATCTGGAGTATCATCAGCATCCTCGTCATCGATCAGCGGCATCACCGTCGTCATCATTGTTATATATATATATATATATAATCATCGTCTACATCGTCATGACTATCCTCATCGTCAGCATCATCACCAGCATCATCAAACTCCGAATAAACATCATCATCAACAGCATCATCAGCAGCACCATCATCAGCATCAGCATCATCAGCATCAGCATCATCATCATCAGCATCATCAACATCATCGTCATCATCATCATCATCATCATCATCATCATCATCATCATCATCATCATCGTCATCGTCATCGTCATCGTCATCGTCGTCGTCGTCATCATCATGACCTTCGTTATCATCATCGCCATGAACCTTTTCATCGTGTTCCACGTCTGCCTTCTTCTCCTCCTCATCATCCTTCTCTTCGCTCCTCTTCCTCCACCTCTTCCTCCTCCACCTCGTCTTCCTCTTCCTCGCTCCTCCTCCTCCTCTTCCTCCTCCTCCTCATCCTCTTCCTCCTCCTCCTCTTCCTCCTCCTCGTATTCCTTCTCCATCCCCTCGCGCCGCGTTCCTCCTCGCTCCTCTTCATCCTGACAGGGGGGGGCAGGGAAAAGCTGGGAGGGGAAGTTACGCAGGGAGACAGAGAGGCATGGGAGGCAAGGACGCAGGCGGGGGGGCGGGGCACGAACGAGGAAGGCTGACAGTTGGGGAGCCCAAGATTTGGCGCCAGTCACGGCAGCGCCCGCGCCGAGCGGCGCCTCGCCACCGTCTCTTTCTGTTGGCGAGGCGCCGCGAGCCCTGTCGAAAGGCATCAGATCTCTGGCACGGTGACCGGCTCCTCCCTCTTCAGCGCGAAGTCCAGCATCTCGAGGTCGCTCTCGAGCATCCGCTGCAGCGAGATCTGCATCTGGAACAGCTGGCGCATCTCGGCCACCTGCTCGGACAGGTCCTCCATCTTGTCGAGCTTCTTGTTCAGCTTGTCCAGCTGCTTCTTCTTGGTCTGCACGGACTTGAGCATCTTGTCCAGAGCGAGCAGATCCTGCGCCGAAGTGTCGATGGAGGACAGGCCGTCAGGCCCCGCCAGGCGGTTGAGAAGGGCCAAACCAGCCTGGTCGCCCTCGCAGGATGATGCCGACTATCCACACTCAGCGGTCCTGGCAAGGGCCATCCTCGGCCCAGGATCGGTGCACACGCGAACCCCTGCCTGGCCTGGAAGGCGCACACACCAGTCCCTCAGGAGCTGGCCTGGCTGGGCCGACTCCTGGTAACCCTGAGCACACAGGCGCGGACCTCTCTTGCGGGGACTACCCGACATTCGGCAGTGTCTGCCAGCCACCTTCCACCGGCGGAGCCAGACTCGATTTCCTTTTGCCGGACTTCACAGACCGTTTGCCAGCTTCCGCCGAGGGCGTCAGGTCAGCCCGCGGCATCCTCGATGGCGGTGCGCTCTCCCTTTTTTTATATCTCTTTCACTCTTTTTTTTTTCTCTCTCTCTCTCTCTCTCTCTCTTTCTTTCTCTCTGCATATAGATCTGTAACTGACACGGTGGATCGTTGGCATCCCCCTGGACCTCGAGCTCGTAGTCGAACGCCACCACGTTGATGGGCAGGACCGGCTGGTTCTTCAAGGGCGGCGGCAGCGTCTCACGGGCCTTCTCCAACGCGTTGAGGAATCCTGCGCCGTCGCCGAGGGACAAGGAGGAGGGAGGAGTGCCATCCCGAGGGGACGCGACGTCCCACCTGTTTGCCCCTAGCCGAATCACCGAACTCCCTGGAGGGACCAGCCTCCAGCGTGTGTCTCAGGCCCTCCCCCGACCCCAAATCCGCCGACCCTGCTGCCGGCGTGCGTGAAACGTTGTTCCGCTTGAGTCGCCGTCGCCACTCTCCCCCCTCCCCAGGGCCCTCCTCAAGCGACCCAACCAGACGAAAACCAAACCACGTTCCAACCGAGTCGTGCGGAAGGCTCTTCCCTTTGATCCCTTCTCCGCGCCGGGGGGGGGGGGGGGGCGCGGGGGAGGTCTGGGGGGGGGCCGCGGAAGGCACCCGCCAGACCCACTGTAAATATTGATCCAAATATATCCACCCACAACCTCTTGATGCAAGAAGAAATAGATAGAGTATGATCTGATATTATACCGAATCAAACTAGACAGTCGTTGGGTGCGTCCACCCTCCCGCCACAGCTGGCGGGCCCACAACCAAAACGGCAGCGGTGAACAGGAGAGTGCAAGCATGAGCGAGCGAGAGCAGCAGCAGAGATAATTCTAAGTATCATCCTATATCTCACATCCCTGCTAATATAACATTCACACAGGAAAAGGAAACGATGCTAAATAATGCCTTGGCAAATTCTGCAGCAAGCTTCTAGAATATTCAATAATATTCTACCGTCCACATACCGAGCAACAGATATCAATATAAAAGAAAAATCCGCGCACTGAGCAACATATATTAAGATAAAAGAAATCCGCGCACTGAGCAACATATATTAATATATAAATTTTGTACATGGGGTCTGCGCACCGAGCAACATATATCAATACATAAAAATATTTACCTGAGCTCTTGAGGGGGTGCTTTCACTCATCATCTGCGGATGGTAATCCAAATCACTCATCACCTGTAAACGGAAATCCAAATCACTCATCACCCCCACCACCGTTCACATCTGAGCCACTGCCATGGCTGGCTCAAAGATATCGTCACACATGTGGTAGTGGGGTTCAGCGTACACGCACTGCTGACTTGATGATGCTGTATGCAATGTAGCTCTTGATGATTGGGTCGAGGTTCTAACTCCTGCTCTCGTCTGCGTCCAGCTTGAGACACCGTCCTAGGCAATTTGCGTAGTGCCTATCCTTCGTATAGATCGTCTCGTAGCTGTCGCCCTCGTACTTGCCACTCCTGATCATCGTCGGTCCCATGGTCTCCAGCCACTGCCTCAGTAGAGCACTATCTCCCAGCATGATTGGTCCATCTCCCACGATCTCGTCATCGTAGGTCTCTGGCTCGGCTCGTACTGCGAGTGTTGTCGTCGTAGCTTTCGGCGTAGCCTTCGCCGTCCCGGATTTGACCTTGACCAGCTTCTCGGGCAACTCCGGCTTGAACGGGTTGTCGCTGCTTGAACTATCCACCTCCATCGGCTCAGCGGTGTCCTCGTCGTCGTTCTGCTTAGGCTGCAGTACGTAGATGAATATGATGATACCCGCGATGATAGAGACTACTGTCACCGCCGTAGGAGACATCGAAAGACAGACTCGATACACTGCAAGCGCACAAAGTTGAAACAGAACTACAACTTGGTCAAGTATCTGGATGGTTCTCTGCGCGCTACTCCTCTCCATCGGGTAGTTGTCCGTTAGCTCTTCCGCGTGGAATGCCTCGACGTAGTCCTCGTCTTGAACTTCGCCCTTGTCGTCGTAGAAGCACTCGTCCACGTAGTTGTACGTCTCCACCGGCCACGTAGAGATCTCCTCGTCGCCCTTCCCGGTGTCGCCGCACAGCTCCTGCTTGACGTACTTGGCCATCTTCGCGTTCAGCTCGTCTACCTCCTTGTTGGCTGCCACCTTCTCTGGTCCAACAAGCTTTCGTCCGCGCATTGATGGCGCCCTGTCATCAGGCCCAAGAGTCCAAATTTGATGTAACTATCTTCCTCGCGTACCCTCCTGGAAATACTTTCGTCAAACAGTCCGCTAGCATCTGATCGCTCTTGACAAGCTTGATGCTGACCTCTTTGAGTGACTGCCGCAATATAGCCGCTTCCATAGAATGCCTCCTGTCCGTCATAGAAACCTTCTCCCTTGTGATCGCGTCGTATAGGCTCTTGCAGTCGGTCGCCGAAATGCATTTCACCGGGCAGGTGTCGTGCGCAATCTCGGTCATGTCCATCTCCGGGTACAGGATCTCCGCCAGGGTAGCCCTCGCCCATATCAACATGTCCACTGAATCCGCACATGAGTAGGCCTCCGCTGATAGAGTAGATCTCACCACTCGTTGAATCTTGGAGGACTGCCACCCCATGCAGTGTACCTTGTACTTGTTGCTGTGGTCCTCGTTGATCTTCTGGTCGCCCAGCATGATGAAGCGTCCGCGTTGTGATCTGTGCTTCGGCAGATTGTCGAAAGCACTGTCGGTGACATTGATCACCATGGTCTCCCACAGGTTCAGGCCTGCTGAGAACCTAATCAGCAAGTCGGTCCGCTTCTGGATCCGCCCGATGGCCGCGCTGCCGTCCTGTAGGTCCTTCACCGTTGGAGCTCCCAGCGTAGATGCCAGTCGGGATGCCTCGAAGGCCTCCTCGAAGCGTATCACTCGCGCAGCCCATTGTAGTTGTCCAACTACCATTCGTAGTCCACGATGTTCTGCATGGGTCAAGGCGCTGTCTGGTGCCTTGCTGCGCTCTCTGGAGATACGTACAGTCTGCATCGACTTCACGTAGGCCTCCATGGTGACGTTGATGCTGCCGTCCTTGTCCTGCTTGTAGGCCCGGCCACAGAACGTCGCCTGCTCCTTCCTTGCGTACTTGACCTCGCCAAAGTCGATCTCCTCCTGCAGGTCCTTCATGATCTTGGCGCCCCCCGGGTCGTCCTGCTTGATGCCCATGAGGAAGTCGTCCACGTGCAGGCACATGATCCCGATGATCGTGCCCTCCGCATGGCGCTTGATGAAGGTCGCGGGCTCGAAGTTCAGGCCTTCCCATCCTAGCTCCACAAGCGTCTCGCGTAGTGCCACATACCACGCACGAGCTGCATCGTTGGTCCCGTATATGCTCTTGCTTAATTAACTTAAGCAGGTCGCCTGCCTTTGCACCCGGGATGTTGCACTTCCCGAGGTTCGTCGGGATACGGAAGTAGAGCCCGCGTGTGATGGCTCTTCCTTGCAGAAAGGCTCCCTTCACATCTGCGACGACTAGGTCCAAGTTGAGGCTTGATACGATGCTGCACAGGAGTAACGTCATCTGTGCTGAGACTGAAGGTGAGTCCCGTCGTAGCTTGTCGTCGAACTCCTCCTCGTAGCCTCTCCCACAAATCCGAGTCTTCGGCTCGAAGGTCGTGGGGTCCTTATCGGTCCAGACCACCTTGGAGCTCAGGATCTTGTCCGGGTCGACCTGGTCGACTGCTGCTCCTGATATGTGGGTTGCTGCATCGTGCTTGCACCGCGTGTTCCACTTCTTCTCCACCGCCTGCTGCATCTTCTTCCACTTGAGCTTGTCGTCGCCCAGCGTCTTCAAGTTGATCTCCTGATGCTTGTTGGCCCTCGTCGGTTGGCTGCACATCCGATCGGCCACCAACGCCTCGACGAGCAGCGGTGTATCTGCCAGCTGCTTGACTGGCCCAGTCTGTGCATGGGCTCGTTTGATGCTGATCGGCACATCGTCCAGCAAGAACTCCTTGATCGTGACTGGGTGCTCCTGGCGCTTGCCCTGCGCTGTCGCGTACTTGACGATGATGTAGCCGGCTGATCCTGCGGTAGCTCTGCTGGTACTGCTGCCGTTTCCTCCGCCTTCTGGCGTTCCTCCATGTGCCTCTGGATCCTGGCAGGTACTCGAAGCTGAGCTCGATCGTCCTGAGCGTCGTCCCGCTTGGTCTGCTTGAGCTTCAGGTCCTTCTTGGCGTGCTTCTTGCCTCCGCGCTTCACCTCCTTAGGTTCCTCCATGGTCTCGTCGGCGTTGGTAGGCTCCTGCGGGGCTGCTGCAGGCTGTTGGCCACCTCCTGGTCCATCTCCAGCTTCCTCTTCCTTTCCCAGAGTGATCTCCTCGATGATCGTGATGGGGTCTTGCGATACCACATCGTCGATGATCTGAGAGTTGGCTGTCCAGTCCACTCTCGAGATATCTTGAACCAGGTCGCGCGTGTCCAAGTTGAAAAGCCGCCGCCTCTCGATCTTGTACCCAGGTGTCGGGTCAGGTAGAAGAGGGGCGTTCCTGACGTGATCCAGCTGCCTCAGGTCGGTCTCGCCCTGGCTGCTGGCCGCCACTGCTCCCAGGGCGGTGCCCCAAGCTTTGTGCGCTCGAACAAGTCGTGCTCGAAGGTCTTCCTCCGCTTGATCTTGATCAGCTGGTTCTGTCTCGTACTCGTCGTCCAGCCTCTGACGCATTGGCATCACGTCGTTATCGTGCACCACTTCCGATCGTCGCTTCCTGCTGTCCGCTGGCTTCGTCAGCTCCACGTTGCCCTGAGCAGGTGCTGCCGGCGCCGTCGTCGGTGCACTCGCGGGTGCATCACCTTGTCCACCTGCTGGCTGTGGTGGAACATCGCCCTGTCCAGGATGCTGCTGATGTTCTGATCTCGGTGGTCTTGATGTTGATCTGGCTGCTGATCTGGCCGTTGATCTGGCTGCTGGTCTGGCTGTTGATCATCTCGTGCTGGGTTATACTGTTGACCTCGAAGGTCCAGAAAACCGCGCTAACCAGCTCGTCCACGTGCAGGTCCACCATCTGAAAACAGGTCGGTAAACTGCATGGTGGTCACCTCGTGCTCAGTCGCCCTTGGAAAGAGACTGGGTGAACTTAGGATCGGGATCCTGTTATGGATCAGCCAGTAACCGTGCTCATCCTTGCCCAGGCACCGGGCAGGTCCATGCCATCGTGCATGCAGGTTCCGCTTTAGGTAATCAGATCGTCAAAACATCAATCAATCACCTTGCTGAAATGGCCCTGGCTGGGGCCTCGTCCTCGCCAGAACTGT